TCTCCGACTCAGAATTAAATAAAAATGGAGAAAATGTTAATTATATGTAATTTTTTTATTATGTTAATAATATTTAATATTATAAAACATACACACTCACGTACGCACACAGCTTATTGTGATATTTCTGATTATGCCATGTATATTTTTAAATGTTGAAATAACCAACTAATATATACGCAGCCAAGTGTTTAGCAAATTTTTATAAAAACTGTAATTTCTTACAAAAAAATATTAGAAAAAATATTGTAGTATTTCTCATTTACTTTTCTATACACTCTCTTTCTGTCCTTGTAAATTATATTTTAACTCTTTTTCGTGCGTTCGCGCGTGTGCATGCGTGTACGTGCACGCGTATTCTAATAAATGACTGTTGTATTTAAATAAAAAAAGTATGTGGAAGATGAACATTACATATGTCTTCTAAAAAATTATCAAAGAAATAATTGTAATTCTGTTATATAAACGACAGCGGAAACGGAACGATAGAGGAAAAAGAGATGTAGAGTTTATCGCAATAGGAAAAATTTAAAAATAGTATGTACATGGTGAACTATATAAGTGAACTAATAAATTCTAATTCGGTAACATCGTAACAGTTTTATTATTTTCTAAATATCGGTTATATCTTTCATTCGGGATTTTAATCAATTATAATCAGAAACTACGAAGACTCTAAAGAAATTTATTCAAAGAAATTACGAAAAATATTAATTTTTGAAGCTTTTTTTTAATGAATTGCCGATTAATTGAAATAATTTAACACTCGCGTTATCATTACCGCGAACATTTTTGAGTACTTATGAATATTTATGAGTACCATTTAAGTAATACTCAATCACTGCAAAAATTGGAATGAGTAATTTATCAAACTTTTAGACATTCCTGTAATATAGCATTTTTATGGCAGTGCCATTATTAGCAAATATTGTACTAGCGATTTTCCACATTCAAAGCATCATATTTCATCATTTATTTTAAACGCAAGCAAGTGGACTGATATTATATGACGGATTTAATCATGATATCGCTGTAATACAGTCGGAATATTGCATACAATTATTACATATATCTAACTTGGAATTAACGATCTTTTATTATGTCGCCGATAGCAAAATGATTATCAGCTGAAGAATTGTTTACAAGAAATATGTCTATTGTATGAGCACTTAAAATATAAATTTTCTTTGCTCATACAAACACAGAATTATTTTAAGAATCTTATGCAAAACTTATTTAATCTTTGTGAGGAAGATGTCTTCTTGTCAAGATGATGGCAATTCTTTCATGAAAAATAATTGTTTGATAGAAATAGTATTCTGAACAGAATCCGGTTGTATGAAACCTGTTTCATATGCAAATAATGTATTATGTTCCGTGATTGTGGCAAGAAATAATTGGAATGAAATTAGATCTATTATCCAATAATAATTTGTATCTTCTATTCCCAACTATTAGAAATATTATTGAGAAATTAATTGTCGCTGTCAGCGTAATCGTCAGTATCAGTATCGCCAATATCATCATGTCTTGATCGTTGTGCATGAATATCCAAAGAGTTTATTAATGAATTTGTATCTTTGGTCACATCCATGGATTCGTTTAATAAAATGTCCATATTTGGTGATAATTTCCATGATACATTATTGTGTGACCTGCGAGCAAGCATAATAATGGATTATATGAAAAAAATATATTTATTTCTAAAAATAATCTTTTTCAAAGTTATACGTTTTATTATAAAAAATTTTTATAATTTTTATAATTTTCATACGTATATTTGTATATGTATATTTTTTGTAGAATACCAAAACCTTAATTGTAAAAAATATATTAAAAATATATATTATAAACATAAATATTAATCAATAATTAATAATATATAGAGTATAGGGTGATTCATCCAGTAGAGTGATTTATCTAATTAGATATTTAGTTAATTAATAAAAGCAAATTAATAATATGTTAAAAACTCTATCCAATCAAAATATAAATTACTTGTATTGATCAAACAATATTAAAATAGTTATAATAAAATCTTGTAAAACTATATTAAAAAGTAATCTATAAAATCCCAGTGAAAAAATAAAATTCGCGAAAATAAGTATATATTTTTCATTAAATAAAACATAAAATAAATAAGAAATAAACTTAAATATTAATTTAATATATTACTATGTACAAATACATGCATCTTGTTACCATGTTATTTTATATTTTACTTACTTAGCTGTAGATGATGGTTATATTTCATCATCACACAGCCTGCAAGAAATATATCATTATCATTATGATCGTGATAGAGAGAAAGTATAAATTATTAGTCAAGGCATGAAGTGTATCTATTTATCTACAATGCATGCAATAAACGCGAATCAGTATTGAATTATATACATATTACTATTAGGGCTTTGCAAAAAGATTGTTCAAGTCTTGATGAAAAAATAAAAAAAAGTCTCTAAGCGTGGCTTCTCTGTATCTTATTTGCAAATGATAATTATATGTAATATTTAAAATAATACAAGATTAGTCACGTAAAATATAAATATTATATTTATATTTATAGTCAATTAGTCGAATATTAAGTATCACGTGTTCAAAATTTAATTAAAATGTTCGATCTAAAGCCTAGCGATAAATTTATAATTTTATATTCAAACATCTAAATGATACTTACATTTGCTCTTGTTGATCATTGCCATTTTCTTCAGCAACCAATAATTCATATTCTTCTGCTGCAAATCGATCCCAATCCGAGAGCTATAAAGAAAAATATATATTTATTATATTACATTAATTAAAAAAAAAATTGGAAAATTATTACATAAAATATATCAATAATTATGAATTTATTCAGACATTATGCATATATAAATTATAGAAAATATAATCACAACTTTAAAAATCATTTCCGAAATGTTTTAAAATAAACATAAAAATAATATATTCAATATAATACTAAATTAAAATAAAATTTGAAGGTAATAAAATTGGATTTGGAAAATAATAAGATAAATATAAATTACGTACTTCGTGACCATCAGCATCATGGTCTCTCGCTGAGGCAAAAGGATCTTTTTGTTCATGATCTAGATACTTTTCCAAATTGAAGAAAGTATCAAAGAAGATAGATGTCATTTTACATTTTTTCAAGTCATTCAACGATATTTTGCCTGGTATCGCCGGGCGAATCATATCCAACATCTGAGACATGTTACATTTTTTGAATGTGTTTGCATTTTATTGTCGCATTTTATTTAATTTATTTAATTTATACTTTTCAGTTTATACTATTAAAAAATCTTAAATAAAAATATAAAATCATGGAAAATTTCCAAATACTAAAAATGGATACACTCATAATTCTGATATTACCTGACAAAGACAATCTTCAAAAGGCAATGTTTCGAGGCCGATCGATTCCATTCGACGTAATTGTTCTTCATAGAAGTATTCCAATTCATACATCGATAAATAACCATCACCATCGAGATCCATACATCTACGAATGAAAGATTATAACACATAACTATTGTAGGATACAAGCAAGTCCTACCGTCTTTTATGATTAAAATAAAAATAATTACCTAAACCAATATTCAATGGCAGTTGGATGATTCTTGTCTTCCTCGCTAAGAAGGAACCACACAAATTCCGTATAGCTCATCTTATCCTCTACTTGTTGTACATTGCTTTTTGCTCTACTACCTCTCGTCACAGCACCGCTAAATATCCTTTCTATCATTCGAGTCGATAATGCTGAAAATAGTGATGAACCAAATTGACATAAAAATCAAACTTGCTGAAAATAGTGATAAACCAAATTAACAAAAAAAATTAACTCAAATTAAATAAATTGATGTATACTATATATTTAATTAACAACAAAATATGTTCTCTTACCATGATCATTGTGTCTTGTTAGATCCATTTTATCTATGAAGAGATCATGATCGCGATCCAATTCCCAAAATTTGCAATATATTACGTAGAAATGTTCGTAGCTGAAGTATGCTGTAACTTGATTAATATCCTCCTCGTGTTCAAGCACAGCGATTACCGCTAATAGATTGCTTCTTCTTAATTCAGCAATTGAAATTTTGCCACTCCAACTTCGGTTTACGCAATAAAATATCCTAGCAATCACCTGCAATTATTTTAATATTTATAAATGTTGCATTTTGTAGCTTATATGCCATCGTAAAAAATTCTTTTATCGATTGCAATTAAAAATTACCGTTTCTAAAAATAAAAAGAAATCAATAATTAAATTAAAATGCTGGCTCTATTGATTTTAACTCAAAATTATTGATTTCTTCATCTTTAAGGTCTTAATTAAATAATACAATATTGTATAAAAGCGTATAAAAAATACATATAAAAGCTCTAACCTATTTAAATATGAATTTATAAAAAATATATGAATAATTTAAATTTTAGAGTTTTAATTATGATAAATGTTTATTTATTGCAAAAAGAACGTATTAAAAAATGTGAGTTAGACATTGAACAATATGAACTTATTCCTCTCATGTTTATATGATAATTATCAAATTGACACAATTTAATCTTAATAGAAATCGATAACAGAATAATAAATTTTAATAAAAAATGAGATAGTGTTGTATACAAACCGTATGTACGTAGCGGGAATGAAATTCTGTGGCTTCTTTTAAAAATGTTAATCCTGGATGCGTTTCTACTACGTCCTGTACGAGTGGGATTAAATCCTCCGGTAATATACTGTTTCGAACTCCCCGAGTAACAATATTGATGAATTTACTAGCTGTATCATGATGAGTAGTTGTTAATCTGCAAAAATAAATTCAAAATCTGTTTATTGCCAACTCGATGGCAGAAGTCGAGCAGGTAATGCAATCTGACGACAGGTCGACTTGATGGCAGAAATTGCAAGCAAACTTTGTACTGTCACTAAATATTGCAAAATTATTTGCGTTCGTTTTTCGCGTGTAAAATTTGTCCCAGATTTGTATATAATTGATTTTATACATATATACATATATATATATATATATATATATATATATATTCGAAATTTATAATTAAAATTCAAATATATTGTATTATTTGCATATCTCTTATGTATGCCTTAACAAGATATGATTGTATTTTTGCAAAAAAATTAACAATTATATTTGAAAAATAATTGCTGTTATTACTGTTATTATTGTATATACAGAATGATTCAAAACATTCCCGTCTAATTTACAAAATATATTTCTGATCAAATTCTGAAACGATTTTTCTTTGGTGAAACTTTATTTAAAGCTTAGTTTTTGAATTGTTAAAGAAAACAATTAATCATGTGTCGAGTATAAGAGTGGACAGGGGCGATGTCGTCATAGGGTCTTAGCACTTACGTGAAGTGCTTACCCATTACGCGTTACGGTGAGTCTCGCCGTTTCCTGCCTATCTAGTCTGTAATACATAAACTATTTCTTTTTATAACTTAAACACTAAGTTTTATATTTTCTTAAAATAAAAGAGAGAAAAATTACTTTCCAATATTTGTTAATGCCAATAATGTAACAATTTAAATGATTATAAAACAGCAGAGGTTGCTCGGTTTCTGCTGCCAATCTCCAGTAGGTCATGTTAGCAGACTTTATTTGATTTCTACCACCAATTTATTGCCTAGTATTATGTTCTACAGAATATAAACTGAATGCGGACACAATTGATGTCAGTCTGCTGACATATTCTGATCAAATCTGCTGGCAGTCGACATACTGACCTGTTCCCCCTCCCAATTTTAGAATTAACTTATTTTGAGAGTTGTGCTAAATCGTGATAAGTTTGTACTACTTGATTGTTCTCGAATATCAAAATCTGTATAATATAAAAAATAAAATAAAAAATTTTTTTAGATCAATTTCATTTGCAATTGTTTAAATTTTCTTCATTGTGCAAAATTGTGCTGACAATATACTAAGGCGTTACTTTTAAGAAATAATAATAATAGAGGTTACAATAAAAAATAAATTTGGAAAATATATAAGTAATGTTTATTGTTATATCAATTATTCTTATAGCATACAAATGCATATCTAACCAATGCATATCTGTGCTAGTTACACACAAATTGACATAATCTTCGATTTCATATATTAGAGGCACTTCATTCTTGAACGCGGCCTTTTGCTCTCAGATTTTATGTCGTAAATTCGGGTTTATAGTTATAGATGATATTATCTGAATTGCCAATTTAATACAAATCGATATAACATTCAATTTTGTCAACACAATTATTGTACAATTATTGTACGATATTAAGGTATTTTACTCTTGAGCGCCCTTAACGCTCTGGAATGTTATAGTTTTTGATTTTGATTTTTGGTTGTTGCTCCACATATCTCAAGTCTTGAAGAATATCTCAAGCTATCTCCGATCAAAATAATATCTTAAATTTCTAAATTTGCCGATTGTTTCAATAGATTATATCTTTCTCTAATTTTGTTTCGACATTTTATTAATTCCAATTTTATTGGAAGCTAGCTTTAATCTTTGAAAATTATATTCAGCTACACCGCGTCAGCATAGCATTTTAAATTTCCGTTTTATATAATATAAAACGGAAATTTAATGATATATAAAATAACGGTATAATAAAAACACGCATCATCAAAAAGTACATATCGAAGAGTAAAATATCGCAAAATATAAATATATTTCATAATTTTTGGATTGTTATTAAAACATTTTTAAATTAAAAATATATTATGTACGATAAAAAAATTGCCTTTTTAAAAAAAAAGAGATCAAATATGAAATGTATGTAAAAAATTGTTAAACAAAAATGTTACTTCAATGTGTTTTATAAAATAATATTTTGATTGTTGCAAAAATTTATCCTACAATTTTATTTTATTTTAATTAAAGGAATTGTATTTAATTTTATTTAATTGAAAAAACTATATTGTCCATTGCATATGTAATATAAATTTTAATCTCCTGCAAAAATAATAAAATATGAAAAAATTACGTTAAATAGGAATGTAGAGGATTCAGAAATAAAATTAGTTTTTTGAATTATTTCCGATATTAAAATAATTATATATCACATAATTATATATCACTAAATATATATTTTATAAATATATAAAAAATATATATTTATTTAAAAAAAATAAAACATACAAAAAACAAAATATCAAATCAAAAATTAAAATTAAAACTTAGAAATTAATATATATAATTGTGAAAGTAAGTTATTTAAATCTTTAAATCCTATTTCCTCATTTCCAACATATATAATACATAAACATATATATATATGATATTTTAAAATTGATATATCATTAGAGGGAAATAATTACAAAAATCTATTAGGATAAGAAATTATTTTTTGTAGGAAAAAATATAATTCTATTAAAAAAAAGAAAAGAAAACAGAAAATTTTGAAATTTTGTTCACATTTCCATTTACAATGTTTGTACTACAACTTATAAAATGCTTCTTCTTGTACCAATCACTCCTTGTTTGAACATAAACAGTTTCTATGCCTTTATAAATTTTATACATATTTATACCGATCATTTTGCGCACGCGTGCCCGTATGTGTGTATATGTGTGATTTACTCTGTAATTAAAGAATCATGTGACAACCATTATAATAAAAATAACTTGCATAAAGTATAGAAAATTCGATAAAATAAAAGAAATTCAAATTTTATATTCACGATTTCATTTGATATATAATATTCTTAATAATAAATATTGATTGTGTTTTCTTACTGTTTCCAGTATTCTAGAAAGACATTCATCTCGACATATCCCTTTTGCTCACCGCCTGCTGCCAGAAAAAGTGGTACTTTCCAATATAAAGGTAAGTCGCAAGCCTAATAAAAAATTGACGTTACAAAAAATTTATACTTTAAGCTTCCAATAAAATATACAAAGATACAATATAAAATATTAAAAATATTATAAGCCTATACTGTATAATTACAAAGGATAAGAATATATTTGCATTGTTAAGTGAAAGAGTGCATTTGAAAATAACCAAAATATCAATGACTTTTGCACTCTCTCTTAATACTATTTTTATTACTAAGATAAATTGCTAAAAATAATAACTGGGAAAAAATAAATTATTTCAATTAAAAATTTTATAAATTCTAACCTTCGTGATAATATGAAATTGTGCACGAGAAACATGACAACTCGGTAAACTTTGAAAAGCCGTAGTAATATTTGAGACAATTGTCTCTAATTGTGATAGACGAAGTGGCTTTCCTCCTGGAAAATAAAATCTGCAAAAAGACGATATTATTTTAAAATTAGTCGAATAGATTTATTGATTATCGGATCACGTTAGAATAAAAATACAGGCTTATAAAGTTTCCGAGATATTGTATATTTTTAGAGAATTTTTTTAAAGAATAATAAATCAATGTACATATTGAAGAAAATAACAAAAAAATAAATAAAAAAATTAATGTAAAAGAATTTGAAATTACTTTGCAATAATTTTTATATTATATTTTAATTTTAATAAAAAATATAATCATTGATAATTCAGAAATTAGGTGTTTAAGATTATGATTTCAGAATGCTTAAAAAATGAATTTTTAATCTTTAAATTCATGTGAAGATTTTAAGTAACCAATAATCTAGTTTAAAAATCAGTATGTACCACTGTGACAATATAATCGAATATTTATTATAAAATATTTATTATAAAATGTTTTTTTATATAAATATCTCAACACTATATGAACACGATATAATCTTCACTTTTTTTAATTTTTAAAGTTTTTTTATGCAACTATATACATACCTTGGTATTTGAACATTCCTATTGGCTTTCACTTGTCTTTGTAACGTTGTATGTGGTGGTAAACTTTTTTGTTGAGTCTTTTCTCTCGAATAAGTCTGAAAAAATGCAAGTTAAATTTTTAAAAATATGTTAATTTAAAAAAGTTAATTAAAAATTAATTGATTTAGCGACTGTCTCATCATCAAATTCATCATTCATAGTAAAATTCGTTTGGGTCGGCGGCGAGATACCATCAGTGGCTTTGTGTGTGAGTACGCGTGTATTTTTGGTGCGCGCATACGTGTGCGTGTATATGTTAAAGTAAGCGGCACTCACATTTTTATAAGAACAATTAAGAACAATTTCACCGATTGAATTCTAGGTTTAATCGACAACGTATTTACGCTATCAACGCTATCAACGTTATTATATAAATATATATGTATAAATAATTAAATAATATAATTAAATAATTAAGAAAAATTGACAAATTTCTCTGATGAAAATTAAACTCAAAATTAAAAAAATTACCTGAGCTTTATTCTGCACTTCTTGACCACTTCTCCACGTATTAATGGCTGGTTGCCGTGGACCGCGCTTGTTTAACAACAACTCGCTTGGACATTTCTCGAAAATGAGTACACGTTCCGCTACGGAGCCTCTAGTGAGGAATGGCCTGACGGGATTATTACTTGTTCCTGTCGCTGCTGCTGTTCTTATGTGTTGCTTTTGTTGATTAGTCAATTCTGGATGAGGCACACTTTGTTCCGGGCGTGGTCGTGAAGAAGTAATTTTTGATCCCCATCTGGATGTTATTGGATCTTTGTCCAAATCCTTAATGTCCTTATCCTTACGTATTTCCATTTCAAATTCGTTTTCGCACTGGAAACCAATTGTTCTGTAGTGGAATTATTATGCGTATGATTGGAAGCACGTTGCTCCTCGAGTCGCTGTTGAGTAAGCGGATTTTGTTGAGCAGCCTGGTACCTGACTTTAGCATAGTCAACTGCCGACATAGCGGATAGATCATCTTTGCTAAGCAATTTTGTTTCGTTGACTAAATGACGATTGCTATGACCAATGGGTACAGTGGTGGTAGTAGTAGTAGTAGTAGTAGTAGTAGTAGTAGTAGTAATAGTAGTAGTAGTAGTAGTAGTAGTACTAGTAATAGTAGCAGTGACAACATTACCAACATTGATTATATTTGCCACAGAATTAGGTACTGCCGAGTTATTTCTATGATAATTATGGCTTCCGATAATAATTTGTTTGATTGGTTCAACCTTTGGTTTTTCTTGTTTAATAGCAGGTTTCTGTTTATTATTCAAACATGCCATTGTCCTTTTCGGTTCTTCGGTGATAACAGCACCTGTTTTTAAAGCATTTATCAGTCTTTCTTCCTCCCGTGCGACTTCGTCAAGATACGCACATCGCGAGTTCATTCCCGTTACAACCGACCTCTTTTCATTCTGCGTTGACAATGTTTTCGTAATATCTTCTTGCTGGAGAGTTTTGGGCAACAAGCAAGATACATTCGCAATCTTTTGGGCATCGTTTAATTTATTTTTCAATGGCCAAGTTGTCAAACCCGAATTTGTTGAATATGAATTCATATTTAACGAAGGATTAGTGGACGATGATGCGATTAGTGTACTAGCGGGTCTCTTTTGTTGTACCGTTGTATTGGAAGATATTAAATTGATTGGAAAAGTGGTTTCAATAGTTTCCAGGAAGACTTCGCAATGATGAGAGCTGGGTATTTTCGTAGGGGCTTGAGGTTTTACTATTTGTGATGGTTTATTGAGAAATGACGAGGTAGGATACAACAAAACGTTTGCCAATTTCTTCGTGTTATCAACCGTAGTTATGTTATTCTTTGTAGTAGCAGCTGTTTGTTGTTGTTGCATAGAATTTCTCTCAAATTTCTGCAAGGCAAATTGTATAGTAGACGTTAACGATTTAGATGGTGATCTTTGCTTGGAAGCAGCTATTCTAGCTTTATCTTCTACTACAAAATTATTGACTAGTTTTTCAAGATTGCTATTATCCAGATTCGGTGTTTGGACTAATATATCTACTGCTGTTGGGGAAGAATGTTCAAAAGACAACAATGGTGAAGTCGTATCACCAATATTCTTTCCAGTCACATTCCCGGCAGCAGGTGAATTATAAGGTGTCAATGCATTGTCAAATTGATCAACAGCACTTGTATTATTGTGACAAGTTAAGATCTCTGTCGGTGCTAACCCACGGCTTTTCCATGTCTGATAAATCGCCTCTGCATGATCACTAATCTGCTTGGCGATTGCGGCGATGTCTTCTTCGCCAGAAACGGATTCCGCAGGAAATTTTCGACATAAATCATGCTTGGCTGTAGCAGCCATATCATAGAAATGTTGTCGTTGATGCAATTGTGAATGAATGTAAAATAAAAAATTCACCACTTGACTGCTCAATTGGACTGATCCAATACTTATTCGGGAATACTTGCTCGGGATGCTTACAAATAGGCACGGTGTTGACTGGAATCAAGATGAATTAAATTTACTCATTTAATTATATATTGAACGTAAATTCTTCATTAGACAAACATTTCGATTTGGATAGTGCACCTTTCTTGAAAAATTTGAATTGACGATTGCTAATACAAAGAAATCACATAGATCTGGCAATCCCAACGATGGCAATGATGACGATGATAATCGACGTAATTCTGTTATATCAGCTGATAATAGCGACGAAATTATTCTTGAGGATCGTTGCAGAATTGTTATCGCTGATCGATTGGCGCAAGGATTTCATTTTCCATAATAGACAAATTACTTTAGAAAATATTTCCTCCATGATCCATTAATTCTTCTTTTTTTATGTTCATATTATCCTCATGCTTTTTTATTTATGTCTTCTTGTCAGTGTACGTAATTATCATTTAAAATTTTTTAATAGCTTGGCAATTAATAATACGGTTGAAATGAAAGAATTGGAATTTAAAGTGTAACTATACTCGTGTAGATGAATGGTAATCTGAAAAAAATAATCAAAATAAATCAATTTTAATGTATAATGTATAAATTTAATAAAATAACTATAAATAATAAATATAAAAAGTGAAAATTATTAAGTTTATTTCGTATCAAAATAAATAAATAGGTTTTTTGAAATATCTTACTAAAATACTAAATACTAAATTACTAAAATATCATATCAAATCATAAACATTTTTTTGTTTAAAATATATTTTTTATGCTTTAAATATATTTTGTGCAATAAAAATTTGTGTTAAAAATATGTTTAAAAAAATGCATGACATAAATATAATATGAAACTTACAACATACAATATAAGTCGTGTAATTGCAATGGATTATTACTTCATTTCATTGAAGATAGAAAAATTGATAAAAAAAAAAGCAACGTAATAATGTTTATCTTATACATTTATCGTAAATAATGTGCATTAGAAAAGTGCATTTATATTTTTCTTAAAATAAGATGCATTTTTTAATATATACATACACGATAAATCGATTATTATAAATATTCTGCTTCTAAATATTATAAAAGTATTGGGGTAAAACAAATAGTCTGAAAAATAAAAAGTTCACGAAATATTGCCTGAGAGTGTCCGTTTTATTTATTCCAACTTATTCCATTGTTTCACCATTACGTTCGAATGTATCTACTGTCATGGTAATTATAAATATTTAATTTAGTAATAATCGATAAAGTACATTTTCCGATACAAGCATCTTTTAGGAATAGATATGAGTACGTAAGAAAATAAGTTTTACAATATTTATTTTTTTTCTTTAGAGACTTCTTAAGAGACTTAAAAAAGCATGCTCTTCACGCAAGCCATTTATCGTCGAATGCTACAGAATGTTTGATAATTAATGATACATGGCTCGTGTAAACTGGGTTAAAGTCAACAGAAAGTTCTGCCATGTTACGATTTTCGCAATAGTGAATGAGAAATTAATGATAGGCTTCTAGCAGGTTCTAAGCTTCTAAGATTAGAAAATTATTTTAAAATATATGGACATCGAAACTCTGTCTAAAAATGATTGTGAAATATAAACTTCTGCTAGAATTATCGCTGGAACTGGGATAAATAATTAGCATGACGTTTCCGCAAATTGCGCTGCTAAATATTCGAAATTGTGTAAATTGTGTAAATTGTTGAAATTTTATCGTAAAGTGCCATATAATTATTCTGAGACTTATTCGGGAACTCTTAACGGATGTCATAACATTTGATTGCCTTTTGTGTTTTAGAGGAAGATGTGCTAAAAGTTAGCACTTCTAGAGATTTATTTTTTTTATGTTAAAAATGTGGAACTTGTTTGTTTAATGTTTATCGGGAACTGTAGACATAAAAAGTGCTACTGAAACTGCTATTATTCGTTAAAAATTTATAAAATAGAGTGCCAACTTTACAGACACGATTCTAGGAATGTATAGACATACACTAGGATATACAGGTCACAGATATTAAAAGGTAAGTAAAGAGAAGGGCAGGGGTAAGAACATAGAAATACAGGAGAAAGTTAGCAGGAGGGGGAAATGAATCTGGTAAGGATATGCTGGGATGAAGGGAATGGAGAGGAGAAGAAAAAAAAATAAGCATTATATATGGGAATTTGATAGAGATAGAGATAGAGAGAGAGAGAGAGAGAGAGAGAGAGAGAGAGAGAGAGAGAGAGGAGGAGGTAGGTAGGTAGGTAAGTAAGTAAGTAA